TTTTAATCATATCACCATTAATTTTATTAAAAAGGATAAAATTAAAATTTTAAGTATTAACAAGACATTCTTAACATGTTTAATTTTTTAAGATAGAAATAATTAATACTACCTCCGATTCTAATTATAAGACCCAGTTGACTAATTTGAAGAGATTAAGGAAGTAAGTTAAGTTAGTTATTTGTAACAAATAAGTGTTGCAATTCCTAAAATATCTTTGCTAATTAAGTGTGTTGGTTAGAACTATAATTATTAGAAGGACTATCTTGAAAAAAAATACATAAATATGAGAGATAAAATGGATTGGGGTCTTATAATTAGGACCAAATTAAAAGTCAAACGGGATCTTATATTAAGGACCGGAGGAAGTACAAGAAATTATTATATATTTTTTTTGGCCAAAAAAAAAGATAGAAATTATTATATGAGATTAATAGTAAATAAAAGTTTTTGCGTAATATATATTTCCCCTTGGTTCCGCACAGTGTCATACTGCCCGGCCGAGTTCATTGCCATTGGAGCATATGAAAACTTGCATTCGCCTTCGATAGGAAAGAAAGGTCGGCCTTTTTTTTTTTTTTCGGTTGAAAATCCTCAACTCTGAAGCGTCGCAAATTCTCTCCAAGCTGTGAAGAAAGCACTGATGGGAAGCGATAGGAAGTCCAAGGAGAAGAAGAAGAAGCGAAGGGGTTATTCTTCAGACTCTGAAGGTACTTGATTTCCCCCGTTTTTTCTTCCCTCTCTTTGTTATGCGATGTGTTTGGCTTTCGAGAAAGCGGAAGAAACCTTACGAAGCAGAATAATCATTTCAAGTGTTCTATAATCGGACCTTTTTCAGGCGGCATGATGACGTCCACTTGGAAGTTTTTCGTGCTCCCAATTACTTTTTACTGAATTCTAGTCGTAATATTCAGATGAGAAGAAAAGCAAGAGACAGCGAACGGCAGATGACGAGGAAAGAAAGGGAGAAAAGAAGGAGAAACGCAAGGAGAAGAAATCTTATAGGCATTCGAAAGATAGATCTGACAAAGGTAAGCATATGTACGAGATGATCAAGCATTCAATTTATTTAATTTTATCTTTTATATCTCACCCACCAGGTTGCTCTAGCTTTACCATAAGCGAACTCATTCACTACTATTCTCAGGTGTTTTTGTTATCAAACCCTCAAATTTATTTCCAAGTTTCTATCATGAATCCTGCGATGCTGGATATTATATGTTCTATTCTGGTTGGACGTGAGACTTGTCATTCTTTGTTTCTGTTAGTCTGCTGCATTGACATTAATCTGATATTTAGAAAGATAATGAATGGTGTCTTTAGTCGTAATGAAGGTATTAATCAACGTGCGTTATTTGTGACGAGTTACATAAGTCTAGTAGTCTGGTCGGAAATAAGGTACTCCTCCGGTCCTAATTATAAGACCCAATTGACTTATTTGAGGAAATTAAGGAAGTAAGTTAAGTTGGTTATTTATAATAAATAAGTGTTGTCATTCCTAAAATATCCTTGCTAATTAAGTATATTGGCTAAAACTATCATTATTAGAAGGATTATTTTGAAAAAAAATGCATAAATATAAGAGATAAAATGGATTGGGTCTTATAATTAAGACCAAATAAAAAGTCAAATTGGGTCTTATAATAAGGACCGGAGGAGTATTAATCAACGTGCCAGTACTGTTATGAGATTACTTTGAATTTAGTTGGTAGTCTGGTAGGAAATAACATCTAGGAATTCTGTTAGAAGGAATGCAGGTGACTTGCATCCCTTGCAGCATCTAAGGTTGGGCAAAGGTAAATGGCATGATGATGAATAGAGAGGAAATCTGTGTGATCAATCTGTGTACCATGTACTTTAATCTGCATCAGGTGACGGGGGAAAGCTCTGATCAGTTGTCAATTTGGCACAAAAGTCTTGAAGATGTGCAAGCTTGAATCAGTGCCATTAGGAAGCAAGGCAACATGTAGACTAGTTGCCAAGGTTATCAGCCTGATTTTCGAGGTCTCATGGACTGTCTTAGGATTCATGCTAATGATGTTGTGTGTGACTTTTAACTTAATGTCAAATTGTTTTTTAAGAGGTATGTGAATCTTAGAAGCTATTTCAAAGAATTATGAAGACCATTTCTGTTCTATACTGTAGAATCATCCACAAGTGGATGAAGGTGATCTTGTCAGGCCTCCTGCTGGGTCTTTGACATCAGATTAGACAGTAGCTCTGTCTTCAGTTGTTTCACTGGAACCTGCTTGCAAAATGTATGCCATAAGTTATGGCGTCAGAACTTGAAAGCAGAGCCTAATGCTGATTATTGAGTCCTCCTCTATTGAAGGAAATAGTACTGAAATTGGCTCTACATCTTCCATAATTTCATTTGATTGTCTATGTAAAGGATACTCTTAAAGAAGCAACAGGACACCAGTTAGACCTGCTACCATTGCCTCCGGCTGTAACTGACTTTTGAATTTCGACTTGCACAAATGGTTTATTGCTGCGAATCACTATTCTAACTGTAGATTCCAACGAAAATGAATCACCATCCAGGATTAACCTTTTCTCTGAAAGGAGGGGGTGCTCTACTTATTTCCTTGCTTCGTCATTTACCATCATACAAAGGGTCCCCAGCTGGATAACGTGAGAAGGGGCAATTTTCCTTCGAAGTCCTTGACTGAATAATGTTAGAAGGAGTAATTTTCCTCCAACGCAATTGTTTGAATTGGTTTGACTTTTGAACGTGTGGTGTGGGTGAAAAGTAAGCATTCAGGCTCTGTTTTTGTTTTTGTGTGTGTGTGTGTGTGTGTTTACTTTTTTCAGTTCTTTCTGGTCATTCATTACTTTGTATTATGTTGGAAGAGCATTAGCGTTTTCAAGTCTCTGCTATTATTGAGGCAAGAACTATTGTTACTCTACACTTCCCTAAAAGGCATTTTTCTTTTGGCAATAATATATCTGCATGCTACTTTTCCTTCAGGGAAGAAGTCAAAAGATAAGCACAAGACCAAGCACAGTAAAGGTGATAGCCATATGGTGAGTTGTATTCTTGATATTACTGTTACTGACAATGTCTAGTTGAAAGGGCCTTGGTTGTGCCAGGTTGTTTATTGCTGTTTATCTGAGCCAGAATCTTTTTCGCCTTTACTGGGTTGAGAAAAAAGTCAGAAAAATAATGGCTAATAAGTAATAACTTTTGATAAACTGTAAACCTGTAGTCTTTGGTTTGTAACCCCTTTTGGTTTCAGATTTGGTAATTAATCTACTTTAATTCTTGTGTTGTGCATAGGCTTTTTCGCCACTAAGAAATTAAAGAAATCAAGGAAAAGAAATTAGTTGAGTAGGCGATTTAGTGGAATATAATGCGTCAAGCATGCTTAAATTCTGTGGTGGTAACTGGCTAATTGCCGAATGTTGAAAGTTTGAGCAGGTTAATTGCCTGCCATGCCTACCTGGAAACCATATACGTTATTTGCCATGCAACCAAAGTTGAAGCGTTCAATACATAATTGGATAAAAATTATGTACAGAAATGTTGCTAAACCCAAGATTGCTCGTTTCTCATATTTCATGGCTTTTCCATGGTTACTACTCCCTCTGGTCCTAAATGCAAGGCCTGTCCAAAATTGGTCTTACATTTGGTACTTTCTTTATTCATCACCAGTTTAAACTTTTAGATTAGGCCATCGTTTTGTCTACTTGCGAAATGCTTTAAAGATAAGAATACCTCTTTCTGATTCCCCATACATTGGTGTCTACATTTAGACCTTCGAGTTTAACACTTTGGTTGTTGATGAGTTGAAGAATCAATTAGTTCATTTGTTGGATGGATTACCATTGTAATTTCAAATGCAGGAGTTCCAAGAATTGTCCAAGGATGACTATTTTTCTAAGAACAATGAATTTGCCACGTGGCTGAAAGAACAGAAGGATGTGTTCTTCTCTGATCTTTCATCTGAGTCAGCGCGTGAGATGTTCTTGGATTTTGTCAAAGCTTGGAATAAAGGAAAGCTTGAATCCCGTTATTATGAAGGCATTACAAGTGGTCCGCGGACAGCCCACAACTGGAAAATCAAAGGGTAGCAGGAGAGAGAAGAGGGATCTGTTCCTGGAGTTCAATCTCTTGCCTTCTTATAGTTAAAATATGTGTAGCTCTTGAAGTGAACCTGATGGAGAGAAATTACACCTCTTGAGGGGTAGAGCTGTCTTTAGAACTAGTCCTTTATTTACTTTAGCTATCCTTTCCGGCTGCTAGCTAGGCACTTATGAAATATAGATGTTGTTAGTAGAAATGAAATATTTGAATTAGTCTTTGGGAATCCTTTGTTTGCTGCACAGGATATTGTTAATTTTTTTTTTTTTTCAAATTATCAAAAAAAGGGCAAAAGCTTCATAAGGATGGATCCTTTGCTGCCGGAAAAAGATAATATGCCGACGCTATCATTATTTTTAGCAAATTTCAATATATATTGGGATTTTTTATTTGAGGACAAATGGCATGCACAATAAGAATTGTACGCTAAATAATGATTTTTTATTTGACAGGAAATGGGAATGTTGAAATTTAAAGGATGCAGATTAAATTTATGAAAGATAGGACAAATTAATCTGTAAAACCCTATAATTTTTCCTGATTTTTAGTTAGGTCTTTTTTATTTCTCCTTGTTATTTCACCTATCTTTAATTAAGTCCATGTAGTCCTCCCCCACTCATGTCATTATATTTCACCTGATTAAAATCAGGTCTCTGCCAAATGGAAGAGAAGCAAAAGAAAAAATTGCATTAAAACCCCATTCACAGGAATTAAATACCAAAACACCTCCTAAAATTATTAAATTAATCTACTTATTATTAAATTGCCCTCATTTTTTTCCAAGTATGCATTGCGGGTACTAACAACTCACGAATTAAATCTTTTATGATGCTTTGAAATAATGTGTTGTTTCCGGAGTCAGTCGTTAAATATGTGCGCGCTCACATTCAACTCGACATGAAAAGCGGGAGATCACTCCAAGAACAATGAAGCTACAACTTCTTTCAACAATTAGTCATTATAAATCACATCACAGCTTTTGTTTCAAGTTTACGGAACACTGAACTTGGGAAAAAGGTTTGTCTTAAGAAACATTGCAGACTACAACCGAAGAGTGGTTACTTCCTCAAATTCAATTACACCACTGGCATCAATAGTCTCTCCACTGAAGCAGCCCACCTAGGATTTGATAATTTGATTTCCATCTAAAGTAACTTCAAACATGCAATGCTTCTCCTGATGGCAAATTATTCTACTTCACCCAAGTAATCATCAATTTCAGCTGGTGTCAATACTCTGCAACACAATAAATTTGCCAACGAATCACTTTGTCACCAGATCTGAGTAGCTCCATATCCATATATATACTCTGATTGAAACATACTTTTGAAGCGGAGAAAAAGACATGATCTATCTCATTTCATCTTTTTCTTTCTTTGTTTTTTTGTGGGTGATGGAAATTATCTTGTTGAAAATATTCAGAACTTTCCAAGTCAGATTCAGGCTCATGGAAATAAATAGGATAGACGAACATAACAAGAAGTCAACTAAATTGGGTAAAAACAAAGTTCCAAGATGTAAACACAATAGAAAGTCGCACCTGAACTTTTTGTCCGCACCAATTATGCCAATTTCAATATTTTTGCCTGATATTTGCCCCTCAAACCTGGAAGACCATAAAAAGCAAAGCATTGAGAAAGAAATTTATCAGACAAAAACACAATTCCAAACATGTTTGTATTCACCTACGCAGCATTGGTACAGGTACAACAACAAACAACAAGAAATCTTATCCTATTAGGTGGGGTTAGCTACATGAATCACACGACGCTATCGTGTCCTGGTAAGGGTACATGTAAAACAAAATCTATATAAATAGAATATATATAATATAATATCTCAACCATTAAATAAAACAAGTAAACACCTAAAGGTAAATACAAAAGAATTATACAATAAAAACATATTATCAATGCGCCGGATGGTAATATGTTAAGAAAGGGCCTAGGAAGGCATTTGTGGCTGTGAAAGAGCCTTGTTCATCACCACTAATGAACTAAAAATGAAGCCCACCAACCACCACTCTAATCCATCATTCCCATAGTCCTTGTCTGAAGCCATTTCAATAAAGTCCCAAATTGATGTTACCAGATGCAAAAATTGTGTGTGGGAGGGAGGGAGGGATGAGAATGAAGGATACCAGAGTTATCTCTCAAAATTCCTATTATTCCCCTGACCCATAACCTGCATGTATTTTGCTGTACATTGTACGGGTATGTCTCGCATTTAGCACACTGGTTCTCCTGGGTATAGCAGATAAGAACTTAAAAAAGAAGAGAGACAACTGTCAAGAAAAAAAGGACACTGAGCACTCATTTCTCTATCTGCATTTTCATATTGGAAGCCCAAGAAGCTAAGGACTTGGCAGCAAAAAATCCAGCTCAAGTTTAGGGATGTGTCTTCGGTAATGGCAAAACAACTAAGACAAAGGATCTTGGAGTGTCCTTGTCTACATATAATCAACCAATCTTTGACACATTCCTTCTCAAAAAATCCTAGCTCTGAAATTCTAGAGCGTGACATTTATTCTGTGGTGAGGGAAACTTGATTTGAGAAGAGAAAAAAAGAAACAACAAATAGATATGAAATGTCTTTTGGACATAACGGACAATAACATTAAACATAAACAAAGTTACTCGCTCCTACCCTTCCTTCAGAGTCAATATGGCTGTGTGGACAGCATCATCAAGCTCCATATCCTCAGTGTATCTGCAAAATGCGCAATCAACTCTTGAAATACGGGAAAAGATCTAAATGTGCGGAAAAAAATAATTTCATCTTAAATTGAGAGCATTATTAGAACTGTTCCGCAGTCATATGTTACAGAGGTCTTCGCACATTGTGGATGACAACTCATAAAAAATATCAGCCATGCTCAGTATCTACAGAAGTAAAAATTACAAAACTGAATGGATCCAACTTAGATTTTGTATGGAGCATTGTCATCAATGATCAAAGCATACCTCTTCTCCAGAAATGTCTTTGCATTAGAAACATTCTTCCCCATAGCAGAAGCTTTCCAGGAAAAATAAGAACCCGATGGATCCACCTATTTCAATCGAATCAAACAATTTTAATTTCTTCCTTTACTTTCTCTTATGGCAAACCAAAGCAATTCATTTACATAATTTCAAGTGCATGAAAAAGAGACTCAAGTGCTAACTCATCATACACACCAACTGCAGGACAGATAGAAAAAGGCTCAACTAGTTTTCTGGCGAAGGCCGTTTAAATTTAGACAGCATAAATCATCAGCGAATAGTTCACTCTGAAGTGAAAAACTCAGTTTCATGGTGGAAACAAAATATAAGTGACACAGGTAACAAAATTATAAACTTCTAACAGGTTACATCAGTATTGAACCTAAGGATCTTAATTCATGTCATTGATAACTGAATATGTGTCCTCAACTTATTTCATGCACATTCCACACACACACACACACACACATATTGTAGCACACAATCTTGTTGAGTTCAATTCCAAATCCATAAGCAAGTCAAGGCAATACAATCTAAATTGCAGTTGATAACAGGGATTGAAAGGCAGCGGGAAAAAATTCCATCACATAAAGTGTATCAATATACCTGGAACAATTGTGGACCTTTATCGTCAAATCCAGCAACTAGAAGGGACACTCCAAAAGGCCTGACACCACTATAAAGACAATACAGAAGTACCCATATTCAAAAGATAATAAAGGGGAAAATGGGGGGGGGGGCATATACATACAAAGGAACGTGCAGTGCTGTGTTTAAACTCTAAACTCAAACAGATTCAACACATTTTAGGCTCACTTGATCATTACAGGTTTTCTTTTTCTTTTTATTTATTTATTTATTTGGGGTGAGGGATTATTACAGGTTTATTTACTATGAAGATCTACCCGGTTGTTGCCAACACAATTTCTATAGAAATGTAAATGAACATATCAGGATGAGAAGGAAGGGAAAAGACATGACATGTTTCTAATACTATGAGTAGCCCAGGTACAATGCATGAGTAAATATAAACAACCCACTCTTTTTGTCAAGAATTTTTGAAAAATACATCTCTAAAAGAAATCCATAATTACCCAGATTGAGTGAACTCCTGCATGACAGCAGCGATTTCCCTTACAAGCTGAGTGACAGGGATTGGTTCCTGCGATGTTCCAATAACATACAAGATAAAGGCTATACTTTCCCAAAACATCCATAATAGAATGTAACAAAACTAGATAGAAAGAAAAGCATGAGATTTTTATTAACAAAAGAGAAATATCTTATGAGAAACACCTAATCAGATTATAAAAACCGACCATATGAGGAAAATCCTGCTTAACAAGACGAACATAAGCAATCACTTGACATTTTTATTTTATTTTAACATAGCTTTTCATCACAATCACTTTCTGTATATCCTTTTTTCTGGTCTACATCACGTAAATAAAGATGCTAAATAGAATAAATGACAAAAAGACGTGTGTGCATGTGTGCTTTTACTTTTTACTTGACAAAGAGTTGTGCATAAAAAGTGACAAAAACAATTTGTAGGGTACATGATGGAACAAGGATCTGAACCTAAGACCAATTGCTACCTACTGCAAATGTGCCACAAATAAGATTAAAACAATGGAACTCATTACAATCCTAATTCCTAAGTTCCAAATGGAGGATATCATTGATGCCATAACTAATCCATCCGGTCAGGTCAAATATTATAAACAGAAAACAGGAGTTAATTATTGAACAGTTGAACTAGAGCTTGAAAAAACATATATTGAGCTAAAACTTACAGAAAAAACTTACTTTATATAGCCGGTGATACTGCTCAGCCTGCTTCCTACTTTTTCGAACCAAAACCCGAAAGTCAGGACCCATGCCACTGAACAACAAGGCAAATTTTCCACAAAGCTCAATTGCATGAAGAAGGATTATGGAGACTAAGAAAGAAAGCTATTTCCTATAATGGAGCTTTCTTCTCTTGTTTATGTATGATTTGTATTAAAGTAGCCTTCAAAAGTTATCTGGTGTCAGGGTACCCAGTAGAGAAGTGATTATGACCTTCTAGAATACATTTCAAACTAATAACCATAAAATTACGTAATCTGAGGCATTTAATAAAGCACACAGATACTAAAATGACTATAACTCAAAATAATTCAAGCATGTAGTGTGAAACAAACCTATAAACAACACCAATATTTGGTGTTAATATCTGAATCTTCTGTACCTGCAACCAAGAAAACAAAGTTAATGCATCAATTTTCAATAATTGAAGGAAAAGTAACCAACTAGCTTCAGATTAAATAATTCTGTAAGAATGGACAACCATAAAAGCACCAGCTCAAGCAACAGCATGAAAACATAAGACAATAGGCAGCAGAACCACAAGGCATATGACCTAGAATAGGGAAACTTGTATATTTGAAGCGTGATCACGAACACAATGGGAGGCAAAGCAAGGGCAAATTAAAAAAAAAAAAAAAACTCACTGATGTTTCATCAACAAGTATAGATGGCAATTTCTTCTCTGTTGCAATGACAACACCATTCGCAGCTGCAAGAATCGAATAGAGACTTAAAAAACAACAGAAGCTATTAAAAAAAAAAAAAAAAGAACCTAATGATCCACGAGACACCATAACATGCTGAATCACATTTAATATTTAAAATTATATTAGAATGTCTGTGTTTACATCCTAATTTAAAATATTCGCATATCAATATAATTTTACATATAAAAACATCCCTCACATTTGAATTGCTTTTTCTTTCTTTTTTTTTCCTTCTTTTCAGTCCTACACATACTCATCCGGTGGCAATGTGTGTTTTCTGGTTTTAACGAGAATATTATTGCTAATAAAATGGATTCAGCACATGATAATATAAATGCTTGAGGCAACAGGACAAGAATTATTAACAGATCCGGAGATAGCAATCATCACCTTTAATTCCAAGAGATGTTTGTCCAGAGCCAACAGCTGTCAGAGCATGCTCTATCTGAACAAGTTTCCCCGATGGACTGTCGAATATAGAAACAAAATAATGAGAAGTGTGCCTGTGAGTGTGTGTTATTGCATCGTGATGTGAGCAAAATTCCACTAACCATACCTAAAAGTGGTCAAAGAGAATGAGTATTGACTATCCCCCATGATCTTGTAGAAGAAGCTGGCAAAAAAGCAAAAACAATTTTGACAATTTATGAGTCTTCATGGCATATATTAACTGGAGACATAGACATGTCGGTTTCTCGGGGGGAGGGGGTGTTTATGAACACACCTAGCAACCAGCAAAATATCGGAAATCCTATGCAGTGGAAAGACAACCAAAAACCTGAAACTTGAATCAATTCATGGTCACAGCAGTTCCAGGAACACAACAACCGCAGACAATAAACCAAAGGGGGAAAATTTTTTCAGCTTAGCACTTCATAATCGATTCAGAGGAATGCAATTAAATAGTCAACAGATCAAAGCTTTGCTACGGAAATCGACACTTTTGCGAAGACTACAAGCACCAAGAACAATGAGTCCGCATTACAGCGTCAAGTTTTTACCTTTAATAATCAGCGAGAGCAAGCTCGACTCGAACCGCAGATGTATGTCTTCGAAAATTGATCTTGCTTTTCTTGAAGAGGGTATTCGTCGGTAACAAGAAAGCGCAATTGCAATTGGGTTGGGCCTTTTAGGTTTTGTTGAACTAAGTAGCTCTGAAACAGGCCCAATTATCCTCACTCAGGCCTCGCTAGGCCCATTACAAATCATTTAGCTGAATTTTCATTTTCCTCAAATATTAAGGCTTATACGTTCGACTACTATTGGCATGGCCTCGCTAGGCGCAATTGCTATATTGGCATGTACCTGCTTACTAGTTTATTCATCTACTTTTGTTTTTTTCTTGTTAAATCTGGTTAGGGCAAGGGGAGATTCATAAAAAGCAAATAAACCAAAATGACTATAAAATTAAAATATATATATAACAAAGGAATACATTCTTTTTTAGTATGAGAAGTGGTTTTTTTTCATTTTATATAATTTATTTTCTATAAAAAATGCTAGTATAACTAATACGATGTCTTACCAGTCCCCTATTATTGAATTTGCTCCCAACACAGCATTCGCACACGGATTAAAAGAAAAGGAGGGGGGGGGGAGCAAGAGCGAGTATGGTATCTTCAAAATTATGTGTAGTATAAAACTGGAGATAACAAACGCCCAAGACTCCTTCCATAGAGCTTGTTGAGATAAAGATGAGGAAGGCAGGTGGGGCTGTGGTTTTTCTTGCAAATTTGGGGGTGTTTGGATAGAAACCAAACCATGGTTTCAGAAGTGCTTTTATGGATTACGAAGTAAATATGTGGAAGAGATTACCTCGTTTTGCGGAAAAGTGCTTCTGAAACCATGGTTTTAAGTTTCCCAAACACCCCCTTAATCTTGGTCCCACCAGCAATAGCAGAACTAAATGGGATCATTAATGGATTGCAAATGTCCTAGGATAGAGGGTATAGGGAAATCCTAGGGATGTCTGGTTACATAGTGGCCATTAATTTTTGTATTCGTGACTGTGACTCTGGCCACTCATTTAGAAATATGATACACGACACTAAGGTCATAATCAATATGGATTGGCAAGATTTAATTAGACATGTAGACATGTGCCATTTATTTAATGCTGGTAGTTTAGCAAAAGCTGCTCATAGGTTAGAAAATTTTTTTGTATCTTTGATCCATCTCTACCTTAGATCTAAAAAGTGGATCTTGATCACGTTTAGATCTTTTGTATTGTTTGCTTTTGTTAAGTAATGTGATTCAGTACTATTATTTGAAAAAAAATAGGAGATAACTTCTTTTCAAATGCATACCAAAATTTTATGCACAAAAGGTTTTATAAGAACATATTAGTAGTACTTAGGATCCCTTTGGATTGACAATGGAAAAAATAGTTTATTTTCGAAAGAGTAAAAATCAAATTGGATAATGTGATTTATATTTGGATTGGATTTTATAAAAGTTAGTTTGTCAAAATTAAAAAAAATTGTTTGGATTATAATTAAATAAGTAAATTTAGTTTCTAAAATTACCAAAATGAGTATGGTTTTTAGTACATGATAAAAAATGAATTTATATAATATAATGAATTTAAATTATTTTAATAGGAAGAACTGAAATTTGATGACTGAAATATATTTTAAAAAATTAGAAATATTATAAAAAAAATTTATAAATATAAAACGAAACATAATTTAAAAAATTATAAATTATTTATGTAAATATAAACACACATTTCAAACTTTTTTCCTAACTGAATGTCATCTAGGGGATGTACTAATGCTTTTCCTACTGAAAGTTCTAGAGCAGCTACTTTTTCAATTTTGGACAATAGTATATGAAGAGTGGTTCATTAAAGTCGAGAAGGAGCGAGTGGAGTAAGGGAAAAGAGTAAGAAAGTAGTCTCTGACAAAGTAATCATTGTATTATAACAATCCTCACCAACCACATGGTAAATAGGTAACTTTTTTCTGCTTAAAACCAATCGTTCTTTTGATCCTGCTTTTGGTTTATAAGCAAGGGGGGTCAAAGGCTCCATCAAAACAGGTGCTTGATTTGCAAACGTGCTTGTCAGATCCATAAATCAATTTTAGGCCCACCGCAACGCCCAGCCAAACAGGCATTTAGTACCATATGATGTTTTTTGTTCATAAGTGGTTTGGGACTGGAATCAAAATTGCCAATAGTCACCATCACTTTTCAAGACTATCCGAACATAATTCAGTGCAGGAAATTTCTATCTGATGCTATTGGAGAAACCAGAAAGATACATAAATGCGAAGTATCTCTCTTGGAAAAATACAGAGAACTTGAATCAAAACTTATGCAGAGAGGTGACACCCTTTTAAATAGAATCACAGGCATAATGTCAGTCTCATAAATCAACCTCGGAGATTACCTATTAAAACATAAGCACTTCTAATGGTTTTACCTTGCTTTTATGGTTGAAACAGACAGACCATTCACTGAATGAGTTTCAAAGTCATCAGACTTATATTTCTTATTTAGCTTTCTTCCACTATAAAATGCTGGCCTTGTTGGGAAAGGAATTGATGCAGTTTCACTTGCCAACAAGGCTATAACATCTGACAAAGCTGGACGATCTTCTGCATTTTCTTCGACACATAAAAGTCCAATGTGGACACATCTTAATACTTGATCTGGATCACATTGGTCTCTCAACATTGGATCAACTATGTCGAGAACTTGACCTTCTTTCCATTGTTCCCAAGCCTGAGATATGCAGAAAACTTTTACACTTCCAATACAAAACATACCAACCTGAAATGACAAGTTACTGAACAAATGCAATGGATTCTCTCTGGAAAACATACATGCCCTACTAGATTTAGTGGACCTTGGGAATTGTAGAAACTGTTATTTCTTCTGCCGCTTATAATTTCAAGTAGCAAAACCCCAAAACTATAGACATCTGATTTAGTAGAGAAAATTCCTTCCATGGCATACTCAGGTGACATGTATCCACTGCACAACACACGTGATAAGGGAAAATCTGTCTCAAGGTTACCATAGCATAAAATGCATCTGTAAGAAGAAATAGATTTTTGCATAAATGTACTCACTATGTCCCTACAACCCGATTGGTTTGTACATTTGATTCTTGTGTAAAAATCTTGGCCATACCAAAATCTGCAATTTTAGGATTCATATTGCCATCAAGAAGAATGTTACTAGCTTTCAGATCTCTATGAACTACTTTTAGTCTTGAGTATTTATGGAGATAAAGCAATCCTTGAGAGATCCCCTCAATTATGTTGAAACGCTTTTTCCAATCTAGCAACTTGCTACGAGTAGAATCTTCACAAGAAAAACATGAACGTGAGTTGAGCTTAAGGAGTGCCAAAAAAAAAAAAGACGAACACAGAACACTAGATTTTCCTTGGAAGAAAAGTACTTGTTTGCTCACCAAATAGAAAGTAGTCTAAGCTTTTGTTGGGCATGAACTCATAGATTAACATCCTCTCTTCTCCGTGAATGCAGCAACCTAACAGCTGAACAAGATTCACGTGTTGGAGTTCAGATATCACAATGAGTTCATTTTTAAACTCAATTACTCCTTGTGCTGAACCTCTGGAAAGTCTTTTTATGGCTATTTCTTCTCCCATTGGCAATAATCCCTGAAATGATTTTCACCAATTTATCAGTCTCATCAATGACTCATCACCAGAAAGGGTTCAAAGATTTTTAGGGACCACCTTATATACATGTCCAAATCCTCCTTTGCCTAGCAAGTTTTCTGGTGAGAACCTGTTTGTTGCTTCCATGATTGATTCATAGTTGAAAATTTTTAAATTCCCCTTCTTTACATCATTTTTAAGTTCATTAACGGTGGTATGCCTATTAAAGGACTCTAAGTTGCCCCGTTCATTCTCCTCCCTGCTTCTTCCATTGTCTGTCGGATATGACACAATAACTTTACTAAAAAGAAGAATGATGGTCATGTCATTACAATTAATCTTAAAAAACATGCCCAATGCGTTTATAGATGCATATACCTTGAACTTCAGTTGCTTTCCTCCATCTTAGGTAGAAAATGCCAAGGCAGATTGTGATCAGAGCTGCTGCCATGGTAGGACCAATTATTTTCCACTTCTTCAAATCTGCATTGCATTGACAATCTTCAACTGTTGCCTTTGAATCTTTCATGGGTAGTTTTACTTCCTTTTTTTTTTTTTTTGTTAACGTAGTTTCACTTTTACTTTTGTAAAGATGTCTCCTATAGCATGTGATATGTTTTCAGTTCCACCCCAACCTAACAGACATAACAGTAAAAGGATATGAAATGTTTCACAGCAGATGTTTTCTTACATATCAGAACTTAGGTATCTGTTTGAGTAATTCATATGACAAGAGATTTATAGATTGAAACATTTTGTGCTTCAAGCAAACCTTTACTTAAGTTTGGATGGATTCCTGTTCTATATAAGAAAAGGAAATTCTAAACTTTGTGTGGCAGCCATACCTTTATGATCTGAGTCATATGGTGATGGTATTAAGACGTTTATGCTTGCGTCCCTAGAGTCAACAGGCACTGTCCTCCAATGTCCATGGTAATATATGCATCCAGTTCCATTGAGGAAAGCCGTTTTGAACGCAAGGCAGGTACAGTTGGTCCAGCAAGTAGCCATACAATCACCTTCACCAATACTGATGTTTGCGTCTCTCACAGAAAAACTCTCATTTCCAGATGGAGAACCGATATATTCAAACTGAATTTGGAATTTTTCACCAGGTTTTCTGCAGTTGGGTGGTTTCGATTTTCGACAGCCACTTTCACTGTTAAAGCCATAGCAAGTATCAGCACTAGCAATGAGGAAATCACTCTCTCTTGTGTCCAATAACCGACCATTATGAAACAGCACCCACTGTGATTCATCATCATATTTACCTCTGAAACTAAAGGACTCTTCTTCCTCTGTTGAGACAATGTTGTATTCATAAAACTGCTGAACTTCTTCTGGTATGTTCACAAATCTGTTGTTTTTCACCACCCCACTTGCCCAATATATCTGCCCTTGTCTCTTAATGATTAATTGCTTTTTTCTTGGATCCCACTCGAGAGTGAATGAACCAGAAGCTGGGGTTGCATCAGAAATGGACGCTGTAACAGACCAAGATTGATGAGTTTTGTGGTTAATTCCTAACTTCATACCAGGAAGTAGTATATCTGAAGGATGGTCAAAACTCTGCCACAACACACTCTTTGAAACACCATTGGGATGCAGCTCCCGCAGGACCAAGTTTCCTGAATCTAATAGAGTTAGAATGGTATTTTTGGTAACTTCAGATTTGACAGGAGAATACAGAGTTATTGGCTTCCTGTTCTGGCGGTTGATTTTGAGAGCACCTGAATACTCCAAAGTAAGAACCCCGGAATTGTTGGAAATAGGGTCGTTTCTGTTTGCAATCCAACTCTTATAGCCATAGTTGGTGTCTTCTTCAGCTTCAGAGGAAGTGTCTTTGCGGCCTATAACAAGGTAAGTGAGGCTAGGGTTCTGCTGAATTGAATCAAATTTAAGATAGAACCTGTGGTTTTCAGAGGTTAGCATGCTTGTGTGATCAAGCACATCACCTGGCTTCAAACTACTTCTTCCTGCACCAAAACTAGTTCCCCAGAGACAAATCAATGAGAAAATAGGCAAGGTAACCACTACGGCCATTGCAAATATACCGCAATAGAGTGCTTTGATTTAAGCAATCTATGAAAAGTTGAAGAAGACTGCTTTGATCTTTGTGGATAAGGTTGACTGGTGACTACCTAGACATGTTTGAGATATTCTTAGAAAGAGAATATGGTGTATACAGACTTTGTCCTTAGTTTTGTGTCTTATTATAAAGTTCTAGGTATTATTTTTAAAAAATGTTTTTTAAAGCAACCCTTGTAAAGGATCAAAATTACTTCTGGTCAAAAAAATACATCTTACTTAGTAAAGATGCCTTTTCCAATAATAATAATTGAGGGGCAGAATTGAAAAGGAGGACATTTTTTTTTTTAATATAATGTACTTCTCTGGTCTTATGTATAAATCACTTCCAACATGTTTCACACAGATGAAGAAAAGCTTTAAACTTTATTGATTCTCATTTAAAATTCAACAACTTTTCAACTTTATCCCTATTTAATATATATTATACCTTATATAAATAAAGTCAACACAATAATAAATAAAAAGTAAAATTGTACATCTATACAAAAAATTTCTCTCAGTATCCTATAAATAGGACCAAAATATGTCTTCTATCTTTGTCCTATAAATAGGACCAAGTGAGTAGATTTTAGTATCTTCTTGATACATGTATTGAGAAGTATCCGGACATACTAACAAGGCATTAAAAGAAAAATATTAACTATCTCATAGATTTTCGTAAATTGACTTATGAATAGAAATATAAAGTGGTTTTTATAAATATGAATGGGAGTAGTAGTACTACTGGTAGTAATTATAATTTTAACCCACACTTGCGCTGATTTGGAATATTCTTTTTTTTTTTTCTAGTAATCTTTATAAGAAATTCGCTGCGAAGATTTTACTCATCATCCAAATAACAAGTAAAGTCAATTATTTATCATTTTCTTTTTTGTTTTGAGTGTAATTTTTTCCCATACGATGCATTTGGGGATTTGGCATTCTAGAATAGTCTGCTTCGCATATATGATTCTCCCTACTATTGATCTCAGAGCTTCATAATAAATATTTTACTAATTCCAAAGTTTTTAAATTTCAAAGACCCAAGTTTACTCACAAACATGGTGGCCCTGGTCGGGTCAGAAAGCACATAAATAATATACATAATTACAAGTGCTTATTTCTCCTGAACTGTCTCTCCTGCATGAAGCTTTACAAGGTAGCTCTAATGGGCTTCATCTTTTGACCTGGTCTCTAATGATCATGGAATTTAGAAAACGTAAAAGTTAAAAGGGAAGCAAAAAAATTGGCCACCCACACCATAAAGATGATATCGACAGTAAACCTACCGAAAGTGTGACACTAATAGGGGGACGGGTGCCATTTATTATAATATTACCCTCCTTCTTGCTGCCTCCCGTTAGGATCCTTCCCACAGTAACTCAGTATCTCAGTACCTGTCTCTCTTCTTCTCTGTCACTTTGATTCCCAGAGACAAAATGAGAGAAGTGAGGTGACGTGATGAATTCGTATTTTCCTTATCATTTACAGAGGAGTTATTTAGAAAGCAAAGTGCTGGCCTCTCAGGCAAAGGAAGCTTTGAACTTTGATTTGTCAACACTGATAAAATTTCTGCCATGGTAGGTCGATCAACTGCCCTTTCTTCTGCACATAGCAGAGCAACATGAATGCATCTCAAAGCTTGATCTTGGACTAACGAACCTTTTATTCCTTCATCTACCAATTCTGGGGCTGCACCATCTTTCCAGAGCTCCCAGGCCTGAAGGTATGTTTAATGCTTTCCATTTCAAGAACTGACAACACAGAGGGTTTTATATGAAGAAGGTTAACAGTGAAAATGGTTTGACTTACATGTCCCACTACACCATCCTACGGAAATCGACACTTTTTCGAAGACTACAAGCACCAAGAACAATGAGTCCGCATTACAGCGTCAAGTTTTTACCTTAATAATCAGTGAGAGCAAGCTCGACTCGAACCGCAGATGTATGTCTTCGAAAATTGATCTTGCTTTTCTTCGAGAGAGTATTCGTCGGGAACAAGAAAGAGCAATTGCAATCCGGTTGGGCCTTTTAGGTTTTGTTGACCTCGGTAGTTCTGAAACATGCCCAATTATCCTTACTCAGGCCTCCCTGGGCCCACTACATATCATTTAGCTGAATTTTCATTTTCTTCAAATATTAAGACTTATACTACCTCTGATTATAATTATAAAAGCTAGTTAACTAATTTGAGAAGATTAAAAAAAATTAAGTTAGTCATTTGTCATAAATAGGTATTGTCTTTCCTAAAATATCATTGCTAATTAAGTGTATTGGCTAGAACTATCATTGTTAGAAGGACTATCTTAGAAAAAAATACATAAATATTAAAGACAAAGTAGATTGGGGTCTTATATTTAGAACCAAAATAAAATTTAAACGAGGTCCTATATTAAGGACTGGAGGTAGTATATTGGACTAGGAACTTAAAAAACCAATTTTTATATCAGGGTAAAAAGTTTTATAATGATAATTTCTTCAAAAATATTGGCATATACCTACTTACTAGTTTATTCATCTACTTTTGTTTTTTTTTCTTGTTAAATCTGGTTAGGGCAAAGGGAGATTCATAAAAAGCAAATAAACCAAAATGACTATAAAATTAAAAAATATATAACAAAGGAATACATTCTTTTTTTAGTATGAGAAGTGGTTTTTTTTTTTCACTTTATATAATTTATTTTCTATAAAAAAATGCTAGTATAACTAATACAATGTCTTACTAGTTCCCTATTATTAAATTTGCTCCCAACACAGCATTCGCACACGGATGGGGGGAAAAACAAAAGCAAGATCGAGTAAGGTATCTCCAAAATTATGTGTACTATAAAATTGGAGATAACTTTTATCCAAATGCATATGATTGCTTATATTTCAGCTTTCAAGACCCCAAAATTTTATACACAAAAGGTCTTACAAGAACATATTAGCATCATTTAGAATTTAGTTTGGATTTACAGTAAAAAAAAGTAACTTATTTTTAATTTGATTTTTTGAAAAAATTAGGTTAGATAAAAGTTAGATTGAATAACGTGATTTATATTTGGATTGAATTTTGTACAAGTTAGTTTGTAAAAGTAAAAAAATTATTTGGATTATGATTGAATAAGTAAATTTAGTCTGTAAAATTATTAAAATTGGCATGGCTTTTATTAAATAACAAAAAATGATAAAAAAAAGTGATTTTATATGATATAATGAATTTAAATTATTTAATCTGAAAAACCAAAAAAGTGAAATTTAATGACTGAAATATATTTTAAAAAATTAGAAATATTATAAAAAAATTTGTAAATATAAAAAGAAACATAATTTTAAAAAATATAAACTATTTATGTAAATATAAACACACATTTCAAACTGTTTTCCTAACTGAATGTCATCTTCGGGGATGTACTAATGCTTTTTCTACTGAAGGCGCTAGAGGGCCTGCTTTTTCAATTTTGGGTAATAGTCTATAAAGAGTGGCTCATTGAAGTTGAGAAGGACCGAGGGGAGCGAGGGAGAAGAGTAAGAAAATAGTTTCTGACAAAGTAATTATTGTATTATAATAGTGCTCATCAATCACATGGTAAATAAGCAACTCTTTTCAGCTTAAAGCTAATCATACTTTTAATTTTGCTTTTGACCCATAAGTAAGATGGACCCAAAGCTCAATCAAAAGCTCAACCAAATATGCGCTTGATTTCCAAATGTGCTTATGAGATCCATAAGTCACTTTTGGGCTACTGAAACGCCCAACCAAATGGCACTTAGAACTACATGAGTTTTTTTTGTTCATAGGTACTTTGGAATTGGACTCAAAATTGTCAAAAGTCACCATCACTTTACAAGACTATCCCAATATAATTCACTGTAGAAAATTTCTACCCGATGCTATTGGAGAAGCAAGAAAGATACGTAAATGCAAAGTATCTCTCCTAGAAAAATACGAAGAACTTGAATCAAAACTTATGCAGATAGTTGACAACCTTTTAATTAGATTTACCTACTAAAACATAAGCACTTCTAATGGTTTTATCTTGCTTTTATGGTTGAAATAGACAGGCCATTCACTGAATGAGTCTGAAAATCATCAGGATGATATTTCTTATTTAGCTTTCTTCCACTATAAAATGCTGGTCTCGTTGGGAAAGGAATTGATGCAGTTTCACTTGCCAACAAGGCTATAACATCTGACAAAGCTGGACGATCTTCTGCATTTTCTTCGACACATAAAAGTCCAATGTGGACACATCTTAATACTTGATCTGGATCACATTGGTCTCTTAACGTTGGATCAACCATGTCTAGAACTTGACCTTCTTTCCATTGTTCCCAAGCCTGAGATATGCACAAAACTTTTACACTTCCAGTACAAAACATACCAAAATGAAATGACAAGTTACTGAACAAATGCAATGGATTCTCTCTGGAAAACATACATGCCCTACTAGATTTAGTGGACCTTGGGAATTGTAGAAACTGTTATTTCTTCTGCCACTTATGATTTCAAGTAGCAAAACCCCAAAACTATAGACATCTGATTTAGTAGAGAAAATTCCTTCCATGGCATACTCGGGTGACATGTATCCACTGCATAACACACGCAATAAGAGACAATTTGTCTGAAGGTTAATATTGTATAAAATGCACTTCTTGGAAGAAATAGATTTCTGCATAAATATACTCACTATGTCCCTACAATCCGATTGGTTTGTACATTTGATTCTTGTGTAAAAATCTTGGCCATACCAAAATCTGCAATTTTAGGATTCATATTGCCATCAAGAAGAATATTGCTAGCCTTCAGATCTCTATGAACTACTTTTAGCCTTGAGTATTTATGGAGATAGAGCAATCCTTGAGAGATCCCCTCAATTATGTTGAAACGCCTTTTCCAATCTAGCAACTTGCTGCGAGTAGAATCTTCACAAGAAAAACATGAACGGGAGTTCCGCTTAAGGAGTGCCAAAAAAAAAAAAAAGATGAACACAAGATTTTCCTCCGAAGAAAAGTACTCAGTTGCTCACCAAATAGAAAGAAGTCTAAGCTTTTGTTGGGCATGAACTCATAGATTAACATCCTCTCTTCTCTGTGAATGCAGCAACCTAACAGCTGAACAAGATTCACGTGCTGGAGTTCAGATATCACAATGAGTTCATTTTTAAACTCAATTACTCCTTGTGCCGAACCTCTGGAAAGTCTTTTTATGGCTATTTCTTCTCCCCTTGGCAATAATCCCTGAAATGATTTTCAGCAATTTATCAGTCTCATCAATAATTGATCAATAGAAAAGGTTCAAAGATTTTTAGGAACCACCTTATATACAGGTCCAAAGCCTCCTTTGCCTAGCAAGTTTTCTGGTGAGAACCTGCTTGTTGCTTCCGCAATTGATTCGTAGTTGAAAATTTTCAAATTCCCCTTCTTTACATCATTTTTAAGCTCATTAACAGTGGTATGCCTATCAAAGGACTCTAAGTCGCCAAGTTCATTCTCCCCTCTGCTTCTCCGATTGTCTGTCAGATATGACACAATAATTCAAAGAAGAATGATGGTCATGTCATTACAATTAATCTTAAAAAACATGCCCTACAAGTTTATAGATGCATATACCTTGAACTTCAGTTGCTTTCCTCCACCTACGTAGGTAGAAAATGCCAAGGCAGATTGTGATCAGAGCTGCTGCCATGGTAGGACCAATTATTTTCCACTTCTTCAAATCTGCATTGCACTGACAATCTTCAACTGTTGCCTTTGAATCTTTCATGGGTAGTTTTACTTCTTCTTCTTCTTTTTTTTTTTTTTTTTTTAATGTAGTTTCACTTTTTCTTAGATATACTTTTATAAAGATTTCTCCTATAGCATGTGACATGTTTTCAGCTCCGCCCAAAACCAAACAAAATAACAGTAAAAGGATATGAAAAGTTTCGCAGCAGATGTTTTCTCACATATAAGAACTTAGGTATCTGCTTGAGTAATGCACATGAAGAGATATATAGATTGAAAAATTTGACACTTCAAGCAAACCTTTATTTAAGTTTGGATGGATTCTTGTTCTATATAGGAAGAGGAAATTCTAAGCTTTGCGTCGCAGCCATACCTTTATGATCTGAGTCATATGGTGATGGTATTAAGATGTTTATGCTTGTATCCCTAGAGTCAACAGGCGCTGTCCTCCAATGTCCATGGTAATACATGCATCCAGTTCCATTGAGGAAAATGGTTTCGAACCCAAAGCAGGTACAGTTGGTCCAGCAAGTAGCCTTACAATCACTTTCACCTATACTAATGTTTGCGTCTCTCACGAAAAAACTTTCATTTCCAGATGGAGAACCCATATATTCAAACTGAATTTGGAATTTTTCACCAGGTTTTCTGCAGTTGGGTGGTTTCCATTTTTGACAGCCACTTTCACTGTTAAAGCCATAGCAAGTATCAGCACTAGCAATGAGGAAATCACTCCCTTTTGTGTCCAATAACCGACCATTATGAAACAGCACCCACTGTGATTCATCATCATATTTACCTCTGAAACTAAAGGACTCTTCTTCCTCTGTTGAGACAATGTTGTATTCATAAAACTGCTGAACTTCTTCTGGTATGTTCACAAATCTGTTGTTTTTGACCACCCCACTTGCCCAATATATCTGCCCATGTCTCCTAATGATTAACTGCTTTTTTCTTGGATCCCACTCGAGAGTGAATGAACCAGAAGCTGGGGCTGCATCAGAAATAGACGCTGTAACAGACCAAGATTGATGAGTTTTGTGATTAATTCCTAACTTCATGCCAGGAAGTAGTATATCTGAAGGATGGTCAAAACTCTGCCACAACACACGCTTTGAAACACCATTGGGATGCAGCTCTCGCAGGACCAAGTTTCCTGAATCTAATAGAGTTAGAATGGTATTTTTAGTAACTTCAGATTTGGCAGGAGAATGCAGAGTTATTGGCTTCCCGTTATGACGGTTGATTTTGAGAGTACCAGAATACTCCAAAGTAAGAACCCCAGAATTGTTGAAAATAGGGTCGTTTCTGTTTGCAATCCAACTCTTATAGCCATATTTGGTGTCTTCTTCAGCTTCAGAGGAAGTGTCTTTGCGGCCTATAAAAAGGTAAGTGGGGCTGGGGAACTGCTGAATTGAATCAAATTTAAGATAGAACCTCCGGTTTTCAGAGGTTAGCATGCTTGTCTGATCAAGCACATCACCTGGCTTCAAACTATTTCTTTGTGCACCAAAACTAGTTCTCCAGAGACAAATCAATGAGAAAATAGAAAAGGTAACCACAATGGCCATTGAAGCAAATATACTGCAATAGAGTGCTTTGATTTAAGCAATCTATGAAGAGTTGAAGAAGACTGTTTTGATCTTTGTGAATAAGGTAAGTTGGTGACTACCTAGACATGTTTGAGATATTCTTAGAAAGAGGATATGGTGGGAATACACCAAACTTTGGTCAAAAAAATACGTCTTACTTAATAAAAATGCCCTTTCCAATGATAATAATTGAGAGGCAGAATTGAAAAGGAGGAAAGAAAAATTTTTTTCCCCTCCCCATATCAACTAGATTTTAGTACCTTCGTGATACATGTGTTTAGAAGAATCGGGACATATTAACAAGGCATGACGAGAAAAATATGAATTATTTCATAGATTTTCGTAAATTGACTTATGAATAGAATTATAAAAAAGTTTTTATAAATATGAATGGGGGTAGTAGTAATACTAGTAGTAATTATGATTTTAACCCACACTTGCGCTGATTTGGAAGATTTCTTTTTTCTAGTAATCTTTATAAGAAATTCGCTGAGAAGATTTGACTCATCATCTAAATATAACAAGTCAAGTCAATTGTTTATCATTTTCTTCTTTATTTTGAGTACAAGTTTTTCCCATATGATGCATGTGGGGATTTGGCATTCTAGAATTTGTAGTCTGCTTCGCATATATGATTCTCTCTACTATTGATCTCAGAGCTTCATAATAAATATTTAAGTAATTCCAAAGTTTTTAAATTTCAAAAACATAAGTTTACTGACAAACACGGTCGCCCTGGTCAGGTCAGAAAGCACATAGATAATATACATAACTACAAGTGCTTATTTCTCCTGAACTTTCTCTCCTGCATAAAGGTTTACAAGGTAGCTCTGTCCCTCTAATGGGCTTCATTTTTTGACCTGGTCTCTAATGATCATGAAATTTAGAAAAAGTAAAAGTAAAAAGGGAAGCAAAAAATTGGCCACCCATGCCATAAGGATGATATCGAAAATAAACCTACTGAAAGTGTGACATTAATAGGGGGACGGGTGCCTTTTATTATTAGTGTTACCTTCCTTCTAGGATCCTTCCCACGGTAACTCAGTATCTTAGTACCTTTCTCTCTTCTTCTCTGTCACTTTGATTCCCAGAGACAAAATGAGAGAAGTGAGGTGATATGATGAATTCGTATTTTCTTTATCATTTACAGAGGAGTTATTTAGAAAGCAAAGTGCTGGTCTCTTAGGCAAAGGAAGCTTTGAACTTTGATTTGTCAGCATTGATAAAATTTCTGCCATGGTAGGTCGATCAACTGCCCTTTCTTCTGCACATAGTAGAGCAACATGAATGCATCTCAAAGCTTGATCTTGGACTAACGAATCTTTTATTCCTTCATCTACCAATTCTAGGGCTGCACCATCTTTCCAGAGCTCCCAGGCCTGGAAGGTATGTTTAATGCTTTCCATTTCAAGAACTAACAACACAAAGGGTTTTATATGAAGAAAGTTAACAGTGAAAATGGTTTGACTTACATGTCCCACTACATTAAGTGAGGAATTCTCATTGTAAAAGCTGTTGTTTCTTCTACCACTCACAGTCTCAAGCATAAGGATCCCAAAACTATAGACATCTGACTTTATGGAGAAAATTCCTTCCATGGCATATTCAGGGGGCATGTAACCACTGCTTGGTATCATGTGTAACGAAAATACTGATCATCAGATCATAAATATCTTAAACAACCATGTAAATCAAAACAAACAGACATACAGGTTCAGAGTTGCGAAAAATATACTCACTATGTTCCAATGATTCTTTGAGTACTTCCTTCTGATTCTTGTGTAATAATTCTTGCCAAACCAAAATCAGAAATTTTGGGGTTCATGTTTTCTTCAAGGAGTATGTTACTTGCTTTCAGGTCTCTATGAACTACTTTAGTCTTGAGTATTTATGAAGGTAGAGTAAGCCTTGAACTATTCCTTCAATTATGTTGAAACGTGTCTTCCAATCTAGTAGCTTGCTTTTCGTTGAATCTTTACACACACAAAAAAAATGTCATTAGAAGATGAGAAAAATAAACAATACTGCAGCAGGAAATATAATAAGGTACAATTAACTTATAGGAAAAAAAATTCTTTTAAAGTGTTCCTTCTAACCAAATAAGAAAAAGTCCAAGCTTTTATTTGGCCGCATGAACTCATAAATTAAGATTCTCTCTTCCCCTTGAATGCAGCAACCTAGTAGCTGTACAAGATTCCTATGTTGGAGTTCTGATATGAGTGTTAACTCATTTGTGAATTCTCTCACTCCTTGTCGTGAACTTCTTGAGAGCTTCTTAATAGCCACTTCTTTCTCATCATGCAATTTTCCCTAAAGTGAAGATTAGTAACCTTTTCATAATATATATTAATCTGCCCATCAGTATAAATTAATTCTTTGGAATTGACCTTAAAGGGCTTTACCTTGTAAATATGTCCAAATCCTCCCTGTCCTAACTTGTTATTTGATGAGAAGCCATCAGTAGCTTCCATGATAGATGCATAGGTAAAGAATTTTAAAGGATGCCCATCCTTTTTATAGTTTTGGAGTTCGTTCAACTTTGCAGCTTCATTCGAAGTTTCTTTCGCACCCTTTTCATCCTCCATCTTTGTTCTTTTCTTGCCTGCATTAGTTTAAATATGAAAGATGAACACTTCAATTCAACAAGTTGTCACATACTATTTATATGTAGGAACCATATATGCACCTTCAAGCATGATTTTCCTCCTCCTGAGTAGTATCCATAGAATTGCGCATATGATGAACAGAGTGATGATAATGAGAGCAATAAGCACTTTCATTCTTTTGGCGCTTGCATTTGAATCTTGATATTGGTCCCTTTGTCCTGGACTTGGCTCCTGTGCTGGGCCTGCGTAGTTAGCATAATATATGATATAGTATCTATTAAAATTTAGATTCTGAGTTCAAAGCTTAATTGGAGCCAAAACTAACCCCAAAAAATGCATAATCTGACCAAATGAAGATTGAAACTCACCTTTACCTATGGGCTCAGATCTATTAGCAAGGAAGTAAAGTCCTAAGATATTGTCTTCAGGAACGCTCATCTGTGAATCCTCAAAATAAAAGACACATCCAGTTGCATCATCATTATGACTAATGAATCCAACACAGTGGCAGTTGCTCCAGCATGTGGCTTGGCAGTCACTTATGGTGAAGCTCACGTTGTCATCTATGCTGTAGGTGATGCCTTGATCTCTTACACTAACATGCATGGTTTCAAAGAACTCGCCTTTGTGCCTACAAGTTGGTTGATCCAGTAATTGGCATCCTCCATGGCTGTGATAACCATAACAGTCACCGGCACTTACAATCACGTTTGTTCTTTCAAATAGCTCCCCATTAGAACTGATTGACCATCTTGCATTATCTTTATCAATCTTAGTTGCTTCATTCCATGGCGAAAATATAAAATACTCTTCATCTTTGTTTGAGACAATGGTGTAGTTGTACAAGCTTTGGGCTTCCTCTGATAAGTTTTCGAGCTTGCCATTCCTCAATACCCCACTTGCCCAATAAACCTATTGATGAAGAACCAAAAGAAAATATATGAGATGGTGGGAAAAAAAAATCTAATTCATAAATTTCAATTTAAAAAAAGGGGGGCATGAACTATTTTATTCTACTCTAGACGTTGTTTAAGATTTCCTTTATTGACGTTAAAAACAGCGTCCAAGATGCCAGAAAATCAATCACCATACTAATTCAACAAAGGTTTGTATTCCCTCAGTTGTCTAACTGTGTTGTGAGTATGAACATTATCTTCTTATCTTGCATCACCTGTCCTCTTTGCAGGATGATCAATTGGCCTGTTCTGGGTTCCCATTCCAGCATGAAGGGACCTGGAGAAGCTGACAGATACGTCGAGTATGAAACTAATGACCAGTTTCTGCCAGTTTTGTGGTTAACACCTAGCTTCATTCCTGGGAGAAGAGTGTCAGTAGGATAGTCAAAACTTTGCCACAATACAATTTTTGATCCATTTAGGTGGTGCCGTTGCAGCACAAAGTTGCCTGTCTTCAACAAGGTGGCACAGAGTATTGTTGATGAGATCTTGAGGCAGATCTGCAGGGGGAGAGTAGAGTATGGTTGGCTCTTGAGCTTGGTGTGTAATTTTCAACACACCAGAATGATCCAAAGTTAAAGCTTCTGAAGAACCATTGAGAATTTGATCATTGCGGTTGGCAATCCAGACACTAGATTCGAGGAATCCACTGTAGACTGATAGATAATATGAGCCTCCCACTGAACATATAGTAGGGTTTGTGTCGTTTAGCTGACGACCTGGCTTCAAATGGTCACTCGCGTCCTGTGCATAACAAGTATTTCTCCACAGCCCCAAGTTCCCCAAAATAAGCAGCAACAAAACAATATCACAAGTTTACTGATCACAGGCATGATGGTGAGAGCCCATGGCCTATTAGTCACCCAGAAATCTGGATTTCATAAAGCATTGCAATTATATTCATGGATGCCTTTGTTTACTTTGTCAAGATTGTAGTTTCCACTCAACATATCCTGTTTGTTTGCTTTTAGATCAACCTCAGCATTGTTTGTTTTCTTGTGTTTTCGTATTTAGCTTTCATTTTAGCAAACATTTAAATATTGGATTCTTAGTTTTGTGTAATAAAAGTAATTTTCATTATATTTTTCTTATAAAAGCTCATATATGCTGCAGGTGTATCTTATGATTTAAAGATAAACTAACAGGTTGAGTGCAATAGATAGGCAATCATAATGTTTTGTTTTTTTTTTTTCTTTAAATTTTTAGCTTTGAGGTTTCTTTGTAAATGGGTTGATATAGCAATTTGCATTTGTCCCCATCATACAAGAATTTATTTAAGGATGGCCGGTCGTAAACCTTTAAAGGGGTCTTTCTTTAGAAAAGGTAAATTATTGCTTGCCCGCTTCTAATTTTAAAATTTGTTTTGAATTAGTTTTGGACATTTTCAACTTTAAAGTTAATTTATCAGCTTAAAAAG